TTTTATTTTTACTGAATTTAAGAGTTATATTATTTAGTTTTTTTTTTTTTGTAATATTTGTTTTTTTAAATTCAAATATTTTTTTTTTTTTTTTAAAAAAAAAAAATATTTTGTATATTTTTGCATACTCGATAGTTACAAACCATTTTCCTATATATTTTGGTTATTAAGACCAATAAAGACTTTATTTATTTATTTTTTTTTTATTTTTTTCTAATGAAAAGCTACCCGATATAAATTTTCGTACATTTAAATTTTCCACTATACAGAATATTCAGAAATTTTATAGAAATTATAAAACAATTTGTTTGTTTAATAATAAAAGTATTTTTTTTTGATTTAATACTGTGAAGAGATTAAAAGATCTAAATTGATTTAAAATAATTAAAAACACGTGCTATAATAATTAAGAATAAATCTATAAAAAAATGTCATATATATATATATATTAATTATTGGATCTAAGAAATATAATAAAGATATGTGATATCTCGCTAAACATTGGAATCAATTTTATGAACATTTTCTTTGTTTTTATCATCATCGTTATTTGCGGTAATGAGTTTTTCAATATGATGATAAGCCAATTCACCAATTTCAGATATATCAAGACCTGCGGTTTCATCCTCTTCAGTAGAACGTATTGAAAGTCCAGGAATCTTATTCATAATAATAAGTAGAAGATACGTTATAACAAAAGAATATGCTATTCCGGCAACAGAGCCGGCAAGTTGATAAGGAACTTGAATCCAATTTCCTTCTATCCAGCCTCCAGGAAGGTCTGTACCGTCAGCAGAGATAACTGACTTTTGAGCAAAAACACCAGTGAGAATATTACCAACAAAACCACCAACACAATGTACGGCGAATACGTCCAAAGCATCATCAAAATCTAAAAGATGCTTTAATTTGACAGCTAAATTGCAAAAGATGCCAGCACAAATACCAAATACCACAGCAGCAGGTGCTCCAACAAAACCAGAACCAGGCGTAATCGCGACTAAACCAGAGACGGCACCGGAACAAAAACCAATAACCGACAATTTTCTTTCAAGCCTAAAGTCAACTAAACACCAAGTAATACCACCAACAGAAGCCGCTAAATTTGTTACAACGCATGCTAAAGCAGCGCGGCCATTTGCAGCTAATTCGGAGCCACCATTGAATCCAAACCATCCAAACCAAAGTAAGGCGGTTCCAATAGCAGTATTAGAAATATTGTGAGGTTTAAATTCTTCAGTTCCGTGACCATTACGTTTTCCAAGTGCAAGAGAATAAGCGAGAGCAGCTGCACCAGAAGCGATATGTACCGGGGTACCACCAGCGAAATCCAAGCCACCTAATACAGAAGACCAACCATTTACATTCCATGTCCAACAAGCAATAACGTCATATACAATGGTAGTCCAGATAAAAATAAACACAATAGTAGGTAATATTCTTCCACGTTCTGCGGCTGCGCCAATAGCTAAAGCGGGGGTAATGGCAGCGAACATACATTGGTAAAGAGCAAATGCGATAACAGGCAAAGTGCTGGATGCTGTTATCTTTTGACCATTGGTATCATCATTCGATGGTAAATTATTAACGTTTCTGAAGAACGCGTAATCCAAATTTCCGATAAATTTATTTGGAGAAGGTCCAAAAGTTAAACTGAATCCCCATAACCACCACTAAATTATAAAATAATAATAATAATGGTAATGTGATAACAAAAAAAAAAATTAGATAACAAAAAAATTTATTAAGAAAGAAAAGAAAACGTAATAAAAAGAAAAAAAAGAATTTACCTGAAAAGATACAACCGCGGCAGAAACAAAACTAAGAAAAATAAGTGATAAAGCATTTTTACTTCTGGCCATTCCACTGTAGAAATAACCAACACCAGGAATCATGACCCATACAAGGGCAGTAGATGCTAAAACCCACGCGACATCACCACTAGAGGCTGTCTCAGGGATCTCGGGGGTACTACTCGTATCGTTTGACATTATTATTTAATTAACTATTAAATGATAAATAAACTATTTAAATAATAAAGAAAGAAAATTTTAAATGTTGAAAGGATTAATTAAATTTATCTGGTGTATTAAATTAAAGAATTAAATGCATTAACTGAATGTTTGATTACTTGAATAGGTTTATATAACTTTTTTTTTTGAATTCGTGAAATTTGGTAAAAATTAATATGTTACATCTAGCAAAAATATTTTGTGCTAGATTGAACAGAATTGTTGGTAAATTATCGGGGAGATACTTTCGCTAAAATCAATTCGTGCGAACCTAATTTGCGTGAATTAAGTAAGACGCGTCATTGGGAATGTCATTAATATGTATTGTTTCCTAGGGGAAAATCAAGTTTTAAAAAAAAAATCGAAAATCGATAAGAAAAATTGGCAGACTATTATGATGAATTCTTAATTCTTCTATATCAATCGACTGATTTTGGTTGGTTCATAATTATCATAATTAATAAAACTAATAAATAATAAACAATAATAATTTATGTACGCTGCATAATAAAACATAAATAAATACTCCCTTACGATAATGTAACACCTCTATGTGACATGACAGTTATCAAAGAATTGTTACACTTTGAAATAGAATAGGGATAAGCTTTAATTGTGTAACAATATACTCTAAGCATGGCACGATTTCGTAAAACGTTCCAATTTTGGTATGAAAAATGAAAAATGAATTTCGTTTAATTAAATACAAGAAAAAAACAAAAAAACAAAAAATTTAATATTTATATTTGTGTTCCTCAATAAAAATAAATTTTATATTCAAATGTTGGAACCCTTAACCATTTCCAATTTTTTAATTATATTATTATTACCAAAAAGATTTTATAAAGAAATCATATGCTCTTCTTCCAATTCACTAAACTCTTTTGACCATTGCCTAACCAAACTAGTATATTTCACTATAACTTCTTTCTGTTGCGTTATTTTACGTTGTAAATCGTCGATTTCCTACGAAAATAATTTTGATAAAATAAATATATGTTATAATAAAATGATATGAAAATGATTATTACTGATCTTACCTTTTGTAAAGAAATTTTCTCACACTGTCTTTCATCAAGAATTATCTTTGACAATGAAATTTCTAATTGTTTTGCTACTCTCATAAATTTAAATGTTTGCATTTCATTTGCTTTTTTTTAAATATATATATATATATATTATATTATTATTATATTAAGATTTGCCATGGTAAAAATTTTTTTTAAAAATGTTAATAATTACCTTTAGATTGTAATTCATCATTAAGAATTTTTTCATTATATTCGGAATCATCAGAAACCTTTGGAACCAATTGTTTTGATTCTTCAATAAATTCCGTGTTTAATTGATTGAGAAGGGATTTCAAAGATATACTTTTAGTTGAAAATGTCATTTTTTTTTTCTAAAATGGAAAAAAAAGAATCAGATTACTGAACAATGATCGGCGCAATTTGCATTAAAGATTACGGATTACGAACCATGTGATCTTTTTCCATAACAATGTATATAAATAAATAAAAAGTTTTATTAGTATTTATAAACATTGATTGAATGTATCACGTGTAAAAATGTACCGATTTCTTCATTGTAACAAATATCAATTTAAATGCATTGTAGATTATGCATTTTTTTCTTAATTAGAAATTACATTCGTACTTTGAATATTTTAGTATTAAAAAGAAAAAAATTTATTTTACGAAAATTTCAACGAAAGAATTCCACTTAGTTATTTAATATATATATTCTTTTCTTCTTTATTCAATTTAATGCAATGCATAAATATTCAATCTTTTATTTTTCTTTTAACTCCCGCCATAAATCTATCAAGGATGAAGAAATCTATCATCTTTTATTGAAAAATTCCTACAAAAATAGTTGGTAATTAATAGAAAATCCAAAACTAGCATCCACCAACAATCGTATCGTCACTTTTATCCTATCACCCTCATTAACCATTAATCCTTTCACAGCAACAAAAAAAAAAATAATAACTTTCAACAATCTTCTCATAGTAAAAATAAAATTTCTAAGTTTACCCATTTTAGTAGTTGGGTCTTATTTGATTATGAATAATAAAACTAGAATCTTAAAAAATGAGAATGAAAAAAGCAACCGAATCATTCTAAGAAAAAGAAAATAATAAAAAAGGAATTTTTAAATATAATGTATTTGTATATTTTTATTTTATAATGATGTAAAGTCTTATTCATTAATATAGTAATAATAAAATAAAATTTACATCACAATTATAATATTTTATTATATTACTAATTAATACAATTAGTACAATTAATACAATTAATACAAGTCATGGTAAAGAATACAATATTTTTTTAAACATAAATGTTCATATTAATTATTATTAATTCCAATATTTAAAATTTTTTTCTTTTCTTATCTCATAATTTCTATAAAATTGGATTAAAAAATAAAATTTAAAAGGTTGGCATTTCAGAATTCTTTAAAAATCTCATAGTATATTCAAACACCATTATAGCAGAAGCATTGGTTGGAAAAGATCTTAAAAGACAAGGAACCAATCCTTTATAGAATCCCCTAGATCCTTCTTTTATTTATAAATAAATAAATGATCAATTAATTAATATCAATCTCTATAATAAGTACAATAATTGTTATTAAGAATCAAATTTTACCAGTTTTATTTATATACAATGCAACACTTCTCAAAGTTGGAAATTTTCTAGGATTAACATCAGGTTGTGTCATATACCTATTTTTAACAGTATCTATTATAAATTTATATGAAAAAGTTTGAATTAAATTTATATAATTATATTGATATGTAATATAAACAAATAGAAATTAAAAAAACCAGCAGGCATTGAGAAAAGCCAAAAAGCATTTGCACTAAGTCCACCAGCCATGAAATTTATTGATGCCTCATTCATGTTGGTATTTCTAAATATTCTTGAAATAACCTTTTTTTTATAATAAAAATTTTCTCATCAGCAATAAAAAGAAAAAGAAAAGAAAAGAAATTTACATAAATTAGAAATTATAAAAAATAAATTTTCTAATATAAATTTTCTCACCTCATATGATCCCCAATATACAAAGAAAAATGATCTGAA